TGACCTGCATTCGGGGCTCTACCCCACACTTCTGCCCTCGCGTCCCTGGCTGCCCAACCAAGCAGCCAACCATTGCCGCGATGCTGCCCCATCTTGTGCCTGACGCAGAAACCATGATGTCCGAGTCAGTTGCTAAGCAGAATGTTCAGGGCAGGTAAACGGGTTGGATAGCTCGAAGTTGCAATGCCAGAGTGCGCGAGGCTTTCTTCTCGTGGCTTTGCCAAAGTTCTGTTGGTAGCCCCGAATCTGCCAGTGTGGTGTGCCTTGGGTCGATGCCAATCTACCCAAAAACCCAAGCACTCGGGTAGGACACATGCGGCGCAAGCAGGAGCAACGCAACCAACACAACACTACCAACTCCTCCACCATCTCAAATTCTTTCGGACCCGCAAGCCTCTGTGAAAAATGACAGAAACAGGCCTTCACATGGTTTCAGGTTCGCACCACCAGGCGGCATGTCGGTCGCGCCTCCCTTTGAAGGCCCTTCCCAGCTGCAAGCTGCTCCTTCAGGAGCTTGGCATTTGAGACCTGTCAGCTCTGGCGAGTGTGTTGTCGAACTTCCCATCCTTCCCCTTGTCGATATCCCTATCCAGTGTGCCTTTGAGAACGACCGTTTTCCCCACACGTTGCATGGAAAGAGCTTCCTGACTTGCTTGGAACAGCGAACTCCTCTAAAGGCAGCTTTCTGCCGATGCCCTGGAGACAAGTGCGGGGCCTTCCTGATGCTACAAACGGGGTTGGGGTGCACATGGGTGATTCCTGCGGCGAGTTGTGCTGTTTCGGGGCGCTGTTCCACTTGCTGGCTGGCAGCAAGTGCTCGCTCCAACTTATTTGAGGTGGTGGTGGTGTCGGTAATCAAAACGCCCATGTTAAAACCCACGTGTTCACAAGAGAAGGAGAAAAAACAAGGAAAAACACGAGTGCTCGAACAACTGCGTGTTTAAACAACTGTGTGCGAGGGGTGCCCTTTGCGCAGGTTGGGCTTTACCCACGGTTGACCTTTGTCAAGCTATAGTCACGTCGAAAGGACAGCTTACTCCACAAGCTTGCCTGGAACCCAAGACAAGAGGGTGTCCCACAAAAGAAAACGGCTGTTGGGCTCTTGGTGTTTCATGTTAGTCTGGGGGAGTCGCTTGGCTTGCCTCCTGCGCCAGAGCTGCCTGCAGCTCCTGAGCCTTCTGCAACCCGCCCTCCTGCAAAGACTCTCCGCGAATCAAACCTTTTAACTAAGGAAGTTGACTAGAACTCTCGAACCTCTAGAACACGCTGGATGCTATCTGTGCAGTTGTGCCATGAATCTATGGTGCACGAGCATGAAACGACCATTCCTGGTGGCTTAAAGGAAATCAATGGGAAACATATTTGAGGGTCGCTTGTGTTGATTCGCGCAGCCTGCAAGTGACAGGAAAAAGTCACTCTGCTTCAAGGTTCTGGTTCCATGCGAGGTTCGGTCAACACGTCCGGATTCGTCGATGATTCATTTGGGAGGCCTGCGGGACTCACCAATTGTCCAACGCCAGGAGACTCATTCAATCTGCCAAGCGATGCTGAAAATCTTTCCTTGCCAGCACGTCGCGTTCACGGTATTACGACGTTTTCTGATGCATCGACGGCGAACCATGAGTGCCGCGTGTTTATATGTATGTCATAATATATATATATATATATATACATATGATATAATATATATATATATTCTGTATAGAGAGATTATGTATATAGCATGTGAAAAGTAATGTGTCTACATGAACGATGCACAGTGTAGCGGGAAGCATGTCTGCACTGTCTTTTGGGACATCTGCGCCGTCCGCACCGCCTGCGCCGTCTGGCTGTCTGCGCCGTTTGCGCCCCTGTATTGATACAGGCATGTGTCCTTCCACCTAGTTCTGGCTGTGCAAGGTTCTTCAAATATAGATCACAGCGTTCGAATGGCCAAAGGATGTGTCTGGCCAAAGCAACAATTCACTCTTCGCGGTTGTCGAAAACCGTCTTGCGACTGTCATCTCATGTCACGTGCTGTTTGTAAGCTTGTTGGTCTTGCCTGTTTGAGTGGGGAATTATCTGTGCTGTCTCCCCAAAGGGTCCCCTGTATTTCACGTCTAGACTCTAGACATCACGCCACCGAAAGAACCCCCACCTGAAATCAACCCTGATGTTCGGAACCGCGAAAGGAGGAATATGGAACATGTGGAACCCTTGCTTCATGCTTGATTTCAAAACATGAGAAGGACTGACCCCCAAGCGCAAGCGAACCGCGAGCAACGTCCTCCAGCTTCGCCTGCTGGCTCCGGAGCTTCTCCTTGGCACAGAGTCCACTGGCAAGCGAATGTTGATTTTGAGACAACGGGGTGAAAAGGTCGTTCTCCCGCAAAGTCTGGCATGAGCAAACCTGAAAGCAACTCAGCCAATGCTCTGCTGAGTCATCCGTCTCCAAGCTGTCCCTGCATGGGAAACTCTGCAGTGATGTGCCTCACTTGCCCAGATGGACTAAGGCATCAGCGACTTCCGTGCTCAACTGCGCCTTCTCTCGCCTTTGAGTCAATTGAGCATCTTCAAACAGGTCAGCTTCAACATCAAGACAAACGGAGGCCCGTGTCTTTGGCTTGGCAGCCTCAGATCACAAAGTTTCCGTCCGTTTGGAAAAAGAGCTTTCGGAGTGCTCCATGCAAATCAAACCGCTGTCGCTTAGGGATTGAGTGTGGCATCGTCCCGGGTGTAACTTGCCCAATAGGATTTCAGAAAAGCACCACATTCTACCAATGCACGAAGAAGCGCAACATGATGACCACAAGCTGTTGGTTGCCACGAGGCCTAAGATTTAGGGCGGGAGCCAAGGGTTGAGTTTGAACCTGAAGGTTCAGCCACTGGTCGCAAGTTTTTTGCCATGATGAGTCTTCGGTTCTGCCGGAAAAGCAAGCCCAAGGGACCCCGTTCACAAGAAGGGAGTGCTCCACGTGGGGGTCAACACAATAGAAACCAAGAGTGACAACTCCTACATTGCTCAATCTGCCGTTGGAGGTCTCTAGTGGATATACAGCTCTAAGCCATCTGTAGGTTGAGGACCTCGGCCTTTTCTTGGCAATCCATTCCTCAAGCTTGCACGTTTGAAGCGTTGACACATGTCCGAAAGGCTTCGGGAATTCTACCATATGGTCTATGGTCAGCATATGTTTGTCTAACAACCACATGGAGCAAATGCTCAATTTGAACACATGCCTGCTACCTTCTTATCATTGGATATCTTAATCCAATGTTCCCCTTTTCCTTGTGCTTGATATGTGTGTCTCCTTTGGGGGGTGCCTATTTTCTGCTTGATTCAATGAGTCAAAGCCCCGGACCCTTTTGGAGTTCCGGGACTGCGAGGGCCGGACTGGAGCTGCTCCAAGCTGGACTCCAGCAAGTTCCGGGACTGCGAGAGTCGAGTGGCTTCCAAGCCGAGGGACCGCGAGGGAAGAGGCAAGCAGGCAGGAAGAGGGCTGGCATAGGCTGGCAATCACCATTGGAACAATTGGAACAATTGGAACATATGAATGGCTAAGGGGTACAGCTCTAATTCAGGTTTGCTTCTACCATGATGTCTTCTCACAAAATACGCGTTGCATAATATGCAAAGAATGGATCCCACCACCAACCAAGTGCTTCAGCCCTCGCTGGGACTTCCCGGCCTGCTTGTGTGTGTCCATGGCATTCTGCAATGCCTGAGGCAAGATACACTCGGGCATGTTGTCTCTGAACTGCTCACGGTAAAAAGACCTCACCCCCCGTTCATCTTCAAGTAGCTTAGGGAAAGGCACCCTGGCCCAGGGGCGGCACAGACTTCTCAGAGCGGACAGACTCCAGCTCGTGCTGCAAGGCAACCACCTGGTGGCAAGGGCTAAATGGGCATCTTGGGGGAGATAAGTTTGTAGACATGATGATCTGACTCCTGGCTTCAAAATGCCATCGGAGTCCACTAACGAGGGACGTCCGGCGGCCAACCAGCGCGAAATAGCGCAAAGGTCCACAAGCATTCGTTATGTTTCCCAATGACATGGGAAGTCGGTGAGTATGCCTAATCTTTATCTTGCTGAAACGACTGCAAATGATGCAGCGATGTGAAGCACCCCGATTCTGACGTGCCGATTCCCCGAGCGCTCCGCGCTCCGCGCACTACGCCTGCTCCGCAGCCACCTTCAGGACGTGGATCTGCTGCCGTGCATCTTCCAGCTCCTCCATGGCATGGCAAGTGACACCTTTTAGGACACCACGACCCCAGGTTCTCCACGTGGGGGCCTCACCATACTGTGAACCATGAACAGTCCGCTAGGTTCTCCACTTGCGGGGCACAACTGCACGCCTGCTGGGCCCTCCTCGCTGCGGCTCTGTGATGTTGAATTCTGATCAACCTCCATCTATTTAATCAGGCAGGCTCCCTGTTTTGTGCACTGTCCTTTCGTCCAGGCCAACCCCAGGAAACCCGTTCCGCTGCAGCAGGTCTGGATTCGATTCAAGGATCGCCAGTTTGCCAACACCAAGGGCCCGGCGCGGTTCCGGCACGCCAGGCGCTCGTCCACTTCCCTGGCGTCTGCTCTGGCCTGACGCCGACAGTCCACCCGCAAAGCTTGGAGTTGGTTTCAGCCGGCCGAATTTCAGCCGGCCAAAACCGCAGGAAGCCAAACATTTGGAGGGTGCACAACTTTCGAGCCAAGCTGAATTTTGAGCTCTAGTCGCTGCAATCTGGATGCTGCACTAGTCCCGAACTACCTGGCTACCAATAAACTGGTCACATCAAAGTCAAACCTACAGCCTTCCCCAAACCCTCGGTCAGGCGAAAGATTGTGCTTGTCTCTGTTCTCTGGACCGTCACTTGGGTACCACAAAGTTGGGAGAGGGTCCCTCCCCCCCCCCCCGCTCCCCGGTACCCGCCTGGGTCGCGGCCCGCTCAGCCGCCGCTGCCTCCGAGGCCAGCCTGTCCTGTGGGAACGGGCCCTGTGGCTTTCCACAGTCCATGGTCCAAAGGGCATGATGGAAGAAGCGGCGTGTGAAAATTAGAAGGAGTTCCAGGAGGCACCCTGAAAGGGGAAGGTATATCGCAAAACACGCACAGTCATTCCGGAGGGTGGGGGTTTGTTCGGAGTGGCCTCCGCCTTTCTCTCCCCCACGAACAAGGATGAAGAGATCTGAGCTGCAGACCTCCGCTAAACTATACTAAACTTACTAGTAACTGGTTGGAACCGAAAAAGAAACACAAAGCGAGAACTGTCAGTAGCTGGGGACAATGTTCAACATGACACACGCAGCAACCTCCCCTCGAGCAGAAAAGTTGTCTGAGGGCCATTTGTAGTTCGAAAGTAGTCTCCGTACGTGCAGTAGGATGCCAAGTCAACACCCCTTATTTTGGTCCCAAAGCTCCCATGGAAAATGATTCGCAGCTACCCAGGAGCTCCACTCGGATGCGTTTTGGCCAAAGACTTTGGTGAGGAATGGCAGGCAAGTGAACGAATGGACTATGACCAGCTGAATGACAATTCCTTGCACAGGAGCCACCCGCAAACATGCATGATGCATGTATTGATGTTACACCAACTTCGTACCTCCGTCTCACGTCTGCGTATGGCAGTTCACAACACCCAAATGGGTGCTTCCAAACAAACGGGAGGCCGTCTCTACGTTTTCCAGAATGGCATCCCGCGCCTTGCAAGCTTCGTCCTGGCCCCGCGCTGCCTCAACCTGAAGCTTCTCCCTGCGCCGCAGTGCAGGGAGACATCTTAACCCCCCCCATCCAACCGGAGACATTCTGTTTATCTGGCTTCTCTAGTCCTACCCACAAAAGGAGGAATGAAAACATAAATGGAACTCGAGGGGTCAGCCCACCGGTTCCATCTCAAGACGGATGCTGCCTGCCTCTGGCAGGAACTCACTCAAAACAAGGAACAATGAGACAAGCACAATGCACCGGATGCGCAGTGATCATGGACTTGGAACACTGAATGTATGAGATTGAAACCGCGCAATGCGTCACAAACGTGCAACGAACAAGTGTATGTCATGCTTGATGCCAGCAATAAATGATGTTTTCACTGCATGCTGCAGCACCTGATACCTGTACCACCAATCCTGCTCTTCCTTTTGCGCACATTGCTGCCATCACACTCAATATCGGGCAGAGTTCTTGATAATTAAATGAGAAAAATCGAAGGAGATGTCGCTCAAAGAGTGACTCTGCCCTCTGACTGCTGTCAGTAAACATCTCATGCCTTGGCATCCTCCGCGGCCATGTGCTTGATCAAATCCACAACCCTGCAGGAGTAGCCCCACTCGTTGTCGTACCAGCACACAACCTTCACGAAAGTGGGGTCCAGCATGATGCCCGCCTTGGCATCAAAGGTGCAGGAGATGGGGCAAGTCTCGAAGTCAGTGGACACAAGCGCCTCATCGGTGTAGCCAAGGAAGCCCTTCATGTCACCCTCGGATCGCTTCTTCATCTCTGCGCAAATCTCCTCATAGGTCGTTTCCTTCTCCAATTCCTTGGCTAGACTTAGATCCCCCTGCAAAAAGCTGAGCTTTCTGCTGGTTAAGGTAAACAACTGGAAACCCAAAAAGCAAAAAACATTGTCGTTCAAGAGAATTTAAACTCCATTCAGATTGAATGATGCGCTACGCAGGTCAAGCCAACGACTGTAAACACACTTGTGCGCCAACAAGGAACACTCTGGCGCGCCGACGCAGGACTTGTCCGCCGACAGTGAACACGCTTATGTGCGAACAAGGAACAATTCTGTGCGCCGACAATGAACACGCGTGTGCGCCAACGAAGGACACTGCTGTACGCCGACGACAAAAACCCTTACGCGCCAGCAGTGAAACTCTCTTGTTCGGCGACGGTGGGCACGCTTGTGCGCTAGCAAGGAACACTATTCTGCGCCGACGGTGAACACGCTTACCCGCCAACCAGGAAGACTGACACTCTTGTGCGCCGACTGTGGGCACGCTTATGCGCCGACGAGGAACACTCTTGCGCCCCGGTGGTGAGCACGCTTGTGCACCAACACTGAACACTTGTGTGCGCCGACGCTGGATACGATGATGCGCCAACAAGGCAACAGAGGACACTTTTGCGCGCCGACGATTGAAGACCTTATGCGCCAGCACTCTCTCTCTCTCTCTCTCTCTCTCTTGCGCGCCGACGGTGGATACGCTTACGCGCCTACAAGGGACACTCGTGTGCGCCGACAGGAACACCCTTGCGCGCCAACAGGGACCACTATTATGTGCCAACGCTGAGCGCTTTTGCGCCACCGAGGAACACTCTTCCGAACTGGCAATCCGGCAGCACGGGGAGATGGCGAGAATGCGAATGAAGGCGCATGCTGGGAGACAAGTAAAGCGCCCGCTGGCGAGAATGCGGCCCGGCAATCCGGCAGCGCGGGGAGATGGCAAGAAGGCGGCCCGGCGATCTGGCAGCACTGGGCGCCACATGAAGGCCTATACTGGGAGACAAGCAAATACACACGCTCGCGAGCATGCGGCCCGGCGATCCAGCAGCACGGGGACATCGCGAGAATGCGGCCCGGCGATCTGGCAGCACCGGGAGACAAATGAAGGCACATACTGGGAGACAAGCAAATACACACGCTGGCGAGCATGCGGCCCGGCGATCCAGCAGCACGGAGACATCGCGAGAATGCGGCCCGGCGATCTGGCAGCACCGGGAGACAAATGAAGGCACATACTGGGAGACAAGCAAATACACACGCTGGCGAGCATGCGGCCCGGCGATCCAGCATGGCGGACCTCAACAGTAAAGTGTTTGGGGAAAAAACTACGCTAAGTCTGGCAATGATTCGACGGTAAGGTCGACGACGGAGACATCGATGGTCGGGACTCGCAGGGCCATGCCAGTGAGCTTGCCCTTCACATCAGGGATCACCTTCGCCACAGCCTTGGCCGCTCCAGTGGAGGAGGGGATGATGTTGCCAGGGCCCGCGCGGCCACCGCGCCAGTCCTTCTTGGAGGTGCCGTCCACAGTTGGCTGGGAGGCAGTCATGGCGTGGCAGGTGGTCATGAGGCCTCGCTTGATGCCCCACTTCTCATTCAGCACCCGCACTGCTGGTGCCAGGCCGTTAGTGGTGCAGGAGGCACAGGACACGCACTCCATGGAGGGGTCATAGGTGTCCTGGTTCACGCCCATCACAATGGTGTGCGAGTCATCCTTGGCAGGGGCGGAGAAGATCACCTTCTTGGCGCCAGCCTTCAAGTGACCCTGAACCTTCTCAGTGGTCAGGAACACTCCCGTGGACTCGCACACGTACTCGGCGCCATGCTCAGCGAAGGGGATCTCAGCAGGGTCGCGGGTGTGGGACAGCGCAATCTTCTGGCCGTCCACCACCAGGGAATCTCCATCAACCTCCACGGTGCCGTCGTACTTGCCGTGGATCGTGTCATATTTCCTGGCTTTTGTTGACGCAGAACCACCGTGCACAAAAAGATGGCAACTAAGACATGTATGGCAACCCCCTACTATAAGAAACTACAAGTTCCAAACACGAAAAGGCATGCTCGGTCTGGACAGAAGCTCATCATGTACGCCAAGTAGTCTGCGTCGTAGCTGGCGTTGATCAGCTTCAACTCCGTCTCGGGGTCCTTCATGGCAATGCGCGCCACCTGACGCCCGATGCGGCCGAAGCCGTTGATGCCCACGCCCACCGCCTGCATGGAGGTGCGGTTCTTGCCTGCGCGCTTGCCAGCCACCCCGGCCGCCGCCAGGCCCGCAATGGCACCCATGCCGGCCATGGCTCCCATGCCGGAGCTGGAGGACTGCGAGGTGCGGGAGTAGCCCGACGCACGGAGCCCGGTCTTGGCCTCCTGTGCCACAGGTCCCGGCGCCACGAAGGCGGTGGTCAGGGCCGTGCCGGCCACTGCACCGCCAAACAGCAGGGCCGCATTCTCCACAGCGGACGGCATGATTGCAACAAGGGAGCACAAGATTCAGAACTGGACAGCCGAAAATTGCTATGACGGTGCAGCATGGGGAATCAAACCATCATACCGTCCACTCGCAAAAATCCAACCATCAAGACTGTTCCTTGATTGCAGCTCTCCGATTAATCCGGTTGTCAGTTCTGCTTGGGAGTGCAAAACAAGCAGAGGGGAAAGTACCCTTCCTAATTGGCCAGTCATTCTACATCTTCCTCAATAGTCCCAAATGTTCCCAAATCTCTAAGTGCAGGCATACATCTTTACAAATGTTTACATATGCACAAAAATATCATACAGCATACTAGTAAGATGTTCTAGCATATGATAGACCGCCCGGATTCTTGCTTGCCCTCCCAGCTTCTGCTGTGTGTCTGACTCACGCTCTCCCCGCGCCTCTCCAGGGAGAGCCGCAGCCGTTGCAGCTCCTCCTTCTCCGTCGCCACAGCCTCGGAGACTGAGATTGAGCCCGCGGCCGTGAGATGACGGGGCCAAGGGGGTTAGTTGCAGGAAAATCCACAGGGAGAGGCCCCAAAACACCCTAAATCAGCTGTTTTCCTGTAGAATTTCCTGTAACCCAACTCTTTGAGTGTAACAGCTGGAGAGGAAGCCTGAAGTTCTATCGCGCCGGTCAACACTTGTCAAACAGGGAATAGATTTGCGAATCAATTTCTTGCGGCTCTGTCCCTGCAAGCGACGCACCCTTGCGGGACCTGGAGCCTACTCGTGGATTCACGCTGTGAAAACCCGGCCAAAAACACTGTAGATACAATGATCCGAATTCGGTAGGAAAGAAACCAAATTCCATCGCAAAAGATGCGGCAAGACAAGAAAGACTGGAAACGTGTCATACCAAACTGAGTGCAGTGTAAGTACATTTCAAGCTGCACTACCTCAGTCGCAGCACACGCTGCGGATGCAAAACCAGCCTACAGTGTCAGTGTTTGTTGCACATTTCAACTGAAAATGCGGACAACTCCATAGCGCCTGGGCTGCACGTTGAAAACAACTTTGGAGAGGTCTAAATTGGCGAAACAACACAACCCTGCCTTTGTAACGCATTCAAGAAAGCTCCCGCAAAAAGGCTAGGGTTGTTCGAAGGAGCAGAAACATTTAGATTTATTTGGAGATAACTCCTAATCTACGAGTCTCTCAAACCGGTCTACCAAAGCACTGCCAAGCATATCAATGTAGGATGGTTGTCGATGTCCCCAGCATGGTCTCAGAACATGGCTTGCGCTTGGAAAGGGATCCTACATACCCGACAAATTCCAAAACGGGAAACACCAGCAACATAGTCGTAGTCTTTGGTCATGAGTAATGTGCCATAGAACCCAAGGATGTTTCTCGTAAAAACCCAAGGAACCCAAGAACATACTGTGTTGTTTGGCCATGAGTACTTCCACTCCGCGACCCAACAAAAAACACACACACACAATCACGAACACTTCTTGAAATGCAAGCAACTTCCAGAAGCTGGGCAAAAGCACATGGAAACATTCGGGGCACCCGAAAGCAATTGTCTTCCAGGATTCAAGATCCAAGATGGCTCAGGAATAAGTTTATTATCAGAGTCTTCTAGGCGGCCCCCTGGACCATTGAATCCAAAAACCGTTGCTTCTTTTCAGAGGCACCAATTGAGCCGCGAGAAAGTCCTGGAAATCCAAACTGGTGTTCAATCATTCATACTGGAACAAATCATGATAATATGGCATGAATTTCCTCCAATTGTCCAGCATGGGTTGCCTCTTTCGTTGATTGTTCACCAAGCCTACCCATGGAGATGCCAATTTCATTTGTTTGGTTTCCATGGGGATGTGGCACGAACGCCCTGATTCTTACGGCAGCCATGAACTAACATAGGTGATCCCTTCTTTGGGCCAGAACCTGCATGCAAGGTGACAACACCAGGCAATCCATGCCATCTTTGGAAACGTCTTAAGCAACACGAACTTGCAATGGCAAGATCAAACTTCGCAAAGCAAAGCCAAGCCAAGCCAAGCCAAGCCAAGCCAAGCGAGCAAAAACAAACAAGCAAGCACGCAAACAAATGAACAAGCAAACAAACACGCAGGCAAACATGCAAGCAAACAAGCAGAAAAGCAAGGAAGCAACAAATGAAACAAACAAGCAGGCAAAGAAACAAGCAAGCAAACAAGAACACACACACACACACACCATTCAACAACCACTCCCTACCACCCCCTCCAACCGCCAATCATGCCCTTTCACACATTCCTGCCGCTCCCCCCCTCCGCACTCCCTGACTGGGGCTCGGGGCCGTCTGGGCCGCCAGCTTGGCGGCCTGGGAGAGAGATCTCGAAACCGCACCCCAGGGAAGCCAACATCTACAACAGCGGGAAGATGGATGAAATGGTTAAGAAGTTAAGAAGTTAAGAACCCAATCCGGGCCGCCCCAATCTGGGCCTGGTGGGCCTCCTCTGCCTTTCGCGACAACTCCCCGGCCAGCGTCGCGCTGCGCTCCTCCGCTAGCAGGGGCCGAACGATAAGCCGAAAAACATGTTATCACGATAGGAATCGTGCAAGTCATGCCGAAAGACATGAGAAGAGTCATCAAGCAGAAATGGAAAGAGACTGAAGGAAGTGGAAGACAAATGAAAGAGACATGGAGACAACTGGTAAACAAATGGAAAGACATGAACAGATAATATGGAAACATATAGTGGAAGAAACGGAGAAACGTGCATTTCTCTGCAACTTTCCATGTCTCTGCATTTCTCTTCCAATTCTCTCCATTATAGTGTATGTTTCTCTAAGTTTGTTCACGTGTCCTTCAATCATCTTTCCAATTATGTCCATTTCCTCTAAGATTGTGCCCAATTCGTTCTCTCCCATGGCTCTCCCATTTGTCTCCATTTCTCTTGCATTTCTTTCCTTTTCTCTGCCATGTTCTTTCCATTTTCTCCCTTTTCTTCGCTTCCATTTTTCTTCCACGTGTTTTCCGTGTCTTTTCCTCTCTGTCGTGGTCGACATCACATTGGCAAATATTATGTCCTATTGTTATAACATGTCATTGGCGGTTGCCACCTCTTTCAGATCATCAGATCGTGATTTGAAGCATACCTCGCCAAGCCATAGTCTTACACCACTGTTGCGGCTCCCATGGTTTCGCCAATATGATCTGTGAAAACTAGGGACCCGTCGGAATGGTGGGTGTCGTGCCTTTGCACGCCATCCCCAAAGGGCCCCAAGTTTTGACAGATCCCGATGTCTCTTTCTTGCCCGAAAGCGCAGGAAGCCACCACGTGGCGGATAAATTATGGGCCAGATTCTTATTTAAAGTTGGCAGAACATGTGTCCTTTGGCTCAACCCGACAGTAGCGCAGTTCAAGCTTTCAAGCTTGACGGCCGTTGCTGTTGCCTCTTGTAGGCAGTAGTCCCCACCCGTTTGGCCCAGCGTGGAACATCTTGGCCAGGCGCATCACCCCCAGCCTCTGCGTTCTTCAGGTCTTGCTCCCTGCGATCCAGGCCCTGCTGGAGGATCTGCAAACCTCGTGCGAAGATGTGTCCCTGGCATCCCTTTTTCACGGGCTGGCTTGCTTCGCTGGCATGGACATCGTTGGGTGGCACTGCATGACCACCAAAGAATGTACCAAAACCATGTCAAGCGACAAGGGTTGCAGTCACTTCCACGCATTTGGCCCTGATTGAGAGCTCGGCTTCAACAAACAATCTCTAGCTTTCAACGGGATTGCAACTAAGGACATGAAACATAGACTCCTCGCGATACCAGCAAGCAAAGCAGGGGATTGCATCTCAACGCATCCAACATCAGAAACAATGACAACCACTGCCAACGGTATCCGAGGTGACAAGTCTTGTGGCAGTTGCCTCGCACTGGCGGCATAATTGTGGCTGCATTGTCACAAGCTATCAGGCTGTGGAATCAACTGGCTGTGCTCGAATCTAGGGACCCGCTTGGCAACAAGTTCCATAGAGAACACGCATGAGACCGATTCGGAAGCTTAGCCATGTTTGAAACCATCAATGCGACAGCGTGATCGGGGCCCGCGGCGCTTCTCTTCGACATCAAGATGCTTTGCTCTTGTGGATTGGCGCCTTGGCCAAACACAACGTCTCAACGTCTCTCCGCGAGAGCTCCGAGCTTTGAGTGCGATGCTGCTGCTCCTCATCGATGACTCGTTGTGCGGCTGTGCGCCACTCGACCTAGGTTCCCACATTGACATAACATCATAGAACTACACTCTGAAGGTCCAAGCGCATCAGGCATTGCCTACGCCAAAATTGCCAGACCAGTTTCACATACGCCGGCCGCAAGCATGCGTTCCAGCATGCATCCACTGCAACACGCAAGCAGTCTCTCAGAGTTGGTCTTTCGACGCAAATACATCATCCGTACAGACCTAGCGAACCAAGAACCCTCCAAACGGTTGATGTCCCATTGGCTTCCCTTTGAGCCATGTGAGTGATCACTCTGGGCAAGTAATGCCTATACTTACAATGGTAGAGCCATACAAATGCTCGCAAATGAAACTCGTTCTCTTGCATGAAGAGGAGTTTGCAGGTAAAGCCGTGACAATAGAAGTTTTGATCCCGTGCCTGGCTCGCGGCAAAATAAAGTTCACCGGAAACTAAGATGGCCACTGCTTTCTTCTCTAGCTCCACCTCCTGCGCAGGTTCGGACAGCAGTTTCTGAGGATCAACCCGGCAAACGCAGGCACAATCGCCCCTCTATGATTTTGTTGAAACATGTTGAAACACCTGATCTGGGAGATTGCTGGTTCGTCAGGACTCCTTGGGCCAGCGTTAAGTCCCTTCTTGCCTGACGAGTTCATGAGACCTATGTGACCCACTCGCGCTGTCCAAGAAGTCTAAGGCCACGTAGCTTTGCACAAATTGTTGCCCAATAATCCCTGACACAAAGGCCACAAGATCTAAGATACCTCGCCTTGGCGCGGTTCCGCTCGGCAGCCAGGCGCTCGCCTTGGCCGTTTGGGCAAGGCCGAAGGCCAAGGTTATATTACACTTCTGCGCTACAAAACGTGGCCTGAAGTATGAGGCGCAAAGTGTTGATTGAAGTTGGCCAAGAAGTTTCGCCAGCTGTTCAGTCTTGCCAGTTGTCGCGGCAAGCGTTGCGGGGTTGGTCTGTGCTTCGGGTATGCAGCGCCGATGAGCACTTAGCGCGGCGCCAGAAACTGTGCGCACTTCCTGCGCGCCAAGGCTACAAGGTTACAAGTGGCCATTTTCCAGCTGACAGCCTTGGCCGCACACTCCGCGCCTGCGTTATCTGCTTCATTTGGCGGTTGGACGGCACTCCGGCACATTGCTCCGCTCTTAACTCCAAGCGCCTTGCCACCTGCTTGCTCACGCCCTCGCGTGGCAAACTGCTCGCCCACAGTTTTGGCGTTGGGCTGACGGGCAACGTTAGAGCAGGCGCCTCGGCGGGCTCCAAGTTCACCTTCTTCATGACTTCCACACTCTATGTCCAAAAGGTCTTTGTCAGGCTTCTGGGCTTCCTTTTCAGGTCCAGCCTCATCCTGGCAGCCGTTCGTCTTTCTCCTCTCCCCTTGCCCCAGTTCTCGCAGAGAAGCTCATCATAGCTCCTCATAAGGCAACAGCTTCTGGTTCTTCAACCTTTGTTCCACTGGCCGTCATGTCAGCTTCAGGGTCAGCTTTGTCGCTGCTTCGGCATGCCGAATGTCCCGCTGGCCAACGGTCCTGAAGCGAGGACGCGCCGTTGCGAACTTCAGGGTCTGCCTAGATGGGATGTCTTCGTCTTGAAGCTGGGGAAATTGATCCTATCAAATCTGGGGTCAGCCAAAGCGGCAAAACTTCCTTGCTTGCCAAGCTTTTGAGCTTGGCTGGTTCGGTGAACTTGCAGGGCGTGCCACAACGCCTGCTCCGTTTAGCGAGTCGAAACACGAACCCGCAAATGGCAAGACAGTTGTCTTCACTCCTGCTAAGCTAGCTGCGATGCCACATCTACGGCTGACATGCTGCTAGGCTGGGGCGGGACAGGAGCATTCTCAGATGCTTGACTGCCGAGACCGACTCCACTGCATTGGAAGCACAGCTGATGATGCATGCGCAGCCGGGTCTGCCGGCAACTTATCCGTGTAGCTCTTCCGTCCATCCGCTAAGGCTGGACTTGCGACGCCAAGTTGATAATGGCTGTCACCACTGCGCCTGGACTAGGCTCTTCCTCTTCTGTCACCTCTAGAAAGGAATCCCAGTCAGCGCTTGCAATGGCCATGGCACCCTCAAACAGAACCAAACCCTGAGGCCTTCGTTCCAAATGTCTGGCACCGCGTGACCACTGTTTCCTCACACAAGCCAGCAACATAGCGGTGCGCATGGCGTAGCTTCGCAGAACATACTCGCTCTGACGTCACCGTGGGTGAGGGAACCAGAAATACATGATTCCAAACATCATTGTCTCATCTTTTAATGTATGGAAAAAAACACCGGCCAACGTCTACAACGGTCCAATGACCTATTCCCGAACAAAGTCTCGATCTGCAGCTGTCTGGGCTGGATTAGTTCAAGCAATGTGGCCAAACTAAGGGTGTTTGGGTGTGGCTGTTGGTGGCCGTGGAATGTTGAGGCTCCAGCTCTCTGCAGATCACTCTGGCTAACATAATTCAGGTCTGGCAAATCTTGCATCAACAGCAACTGAGTTGAAAGAATGCTCTCAAGTCCACTTTCCCTCGATTGACTCTGCTCGCAATTCGCTTTGAGGCTCCCGGGCGTTGGCGCAAGCGCTCCTCGCGCTCCGCAAGCTCAAGCTTTACCCTGGCCATGGCCTCGGCCGTGGGGCTGACGCGCCATGTGTCTGCCTATCTGTGCTGGTTTCCCTCGCTGCTTACCAAGTGACGTTGACTCCTAATGCACAAAACCCTTTCCGATCAAGAGTTTTTCTTTGAGGGAGACATCAGGGCATCATCTGACATCCCTTGATGAACAACAGGAGAGTTGTATCTCTGAGCCTTGGTGTCAAAGGACGGCAGCCTACTTACGACACTCTCTCTCTCTCTCTGTCTCTGGGTTGCCCCTCCTCCTGCAACTCAGCCCTGCCTTTGGCAGCCTCCTCCAAGGCCTCAGGACAAGGGAGGTGCCATAGCAAAGCACATGAAGTGTATCCATCACGCTGCTCATTCACGTGCAGCCTAAATCCCTCTGACAAGGAGCCCCATGTTTGACACCATTTCTTGTCACACGTGCATCATATTCCAGCATGATTGGCCAAGCAAGATTAGATAATGCGGATCACATGCGAAGGAGATGGTGCAACACTGCCTTGCCCAAAGCCAACTTGCCCGTAGGCTTGGATTGGTCTGAGATAGACGCACCATTGCACCACAACTGCAATACCGGAACTCCACTGCGCCGTGCAACTGAAAGGCAAATATGCCCGAAGGTAAACATAAAGGATCATGATCAACGGCAGTTGCGTAGTTCTGGGGGCTGTACCCCAGCCAAGTTGGAAACGCTGCAGCAGCTCCTCTTCAATCATTTTTGTGTTACAAGCCTATGGGAGTACCATACAGAGCTCAATCTCAGAAACCTTCGCTAAGAACACACTTAAACTCCCAAGGGAAAGATCTCATCTTTCGAGTGCAGCTGGTGAGTCTCGAGTGTGGACTTTCGGGTTGCGCGACACTTGGCTTCTCTTTAATGTCGAAAACGTTACCAGATCCAACGTCAAACACACACAGCGAGAGAAACAGCGGGCCAAAAGGACTTTGCGCAACCGTTGCAGGTACACAATCCAGCGTCCCGGATTGCATCACAAGCGGACGATCGCGAAAAAACAACTGAGGGGAAAGAAGACGGCCAGCCAAACTGCGTGCGGCAAACGAGGAGTAGGAACAGGTAGGCAGACAGGAAGAAGACGACGAGGGGAACGGTGAACAACCCGAGGACAAGCAGGCCATCCCTAAGCGGGCAAAGAGAAGGAAGACAAACGCGCCAGAAAACGGACACGCGGACGACGAAGTCGAGAAACACCACGATATACCCACACACGTAGCACAAACATAATATATACCCGTATTCAGTATTCATATATACATATAAATATATATATATATATATGTATATCCTCCCCCGTTTGCTCCATGAGATATGACGTTGTCTTCCCTTTAGTGAAACCTCGTGTCTGCTCAAATGTGAAATTCCGCTGGTCTATGATCAGAACGTTGAGGTCGAATTTTCCGGCAAGGCCGGCCCGGGGTCACACAATGGGTACACCCCAGTGCACCCGACGGTCCCCCGAGACGAGGGAGAGATCTCATCTTTCGAGTACAACTGGTGAGTCTCGAGTGCGTGCATTTTCGGCTTGCGCGACACTTGGCTTCTCTTTAGTGTCGAAAACGTTACCTGATACAGCGAGAGAAACAGCGGGCCAAAAGGACTTTGCACAACCGTTGCAAGTACAATCCAGCGTCCCGGATTGCATCACACTTCTCATTAGGCGTCATCGTTGGCCTGAGTCCTGATGAGAAGCCTCAAGCCCCCTGCTGACAAGTTTGGTGACAGGGTAATTCTGTCACTCCGCACACACACGCACGCACGCACGCACGCACGCACGCACGCACGCACGCACGCACGCACGCACGCACGCACGCACGCACGCACCCACACACACACACCCACCCACCCACCCACCCACCCACCCACCCACCCACCCACGCACCTACCCACCCACACACACACACACACCCACGCACGCACGCACGCACGCACGCACGCACGCATGCCTGAGAGAAGAAACTTATAGAAACTTGCCACTTCAGGCTTGCTGCTAAAGCAAAACGCCAATCCAAACACCGACCTGCCAAAGCACCCATCAGTTTCCTTGCCAACCAAAAGCACGCAGGGCTTCGAGCAATCTGCTCCCGCTCCAGCATGCGGATCCGGGCCAGCTCTGCCTTGAAGCGAGAGCGGGCTGGTCATTGGTCTGCAATATTGCTTCATGAATCTGTTGTGCAGCCGGTGACACCACACAATCCACTCCCGGGAACATGCACATCTTGATAGGGAGGTGGCTTCGCATACGTAGCAGCAGAAAGAAACATGTCAGCACGCACTCGCAAAGCACGAGTGGGTTGCTCAAGTCCGCCTCTATGCCTTCGGCTGCTGCCAGGTCCAAAAGATTCTTGGATTCGGCGGGCAGTCAGGGATGGTCCTTTAAATCATCCAAATCTTCGATTTGCAGGCCAACAAGTGCCGTCTTCGGCACTGAACACAAGCCGAACGCGCGCGCTTGGCCTCGGCTTCTCTCCGGACAGTGGCCTCGCAGCGTGCTTGGAACCTCAGGAGGCAAGGGGCTCAAGTCTCACGAACTGCCAAGTCAGCAGAAATGATTCAATGTCTACATCCGACATCATCCGACATGAGGCATTCTCACTGGCGTTTGCAATTCTCAGGCGTTAGCTGCAGCATGCGCTCCTCCGCAGATCGGCGGTCTCGATCCGATGGCCTAACACAAAGCATTTCCCAGTTTCACCTGAGTCACCCCCGTTCAAGACAAACCTTTCTGATGGTGGCTTGTCCGAAAACAGTCCTGTCTTGCGCAGGGGCAAAGATAGGATCACACTGGGCCAGGGGCACAACACATGCCCGGAGCTTCTCATCCAGACTCTGGCCCAAGCCTGTCGAGAAGCAGACAGCCGTGAGAACGCTGAGCCACCCAAACCTTGTTCATCTGCTAAAAAACTGCCTCGGTGACTACTTAGAGACCAGCAATCTGTAACCCTATTCCCAAAGTATGTGTACCCCCAAGAAGCAACCTCACAACCAAATGCTTGCCAGAATTGAGCCACCCCTTCCCATGCCAGACTGCACTCGAACAAGCATGGCAACATGCCGCGTGTGTGATTTGCGAACATGACTTTGCACGTCCTGCAACGATCCGCAACTTCGCAGTCTTCTCAGATCCTCAAACAGCTGACTCTAAAACTGCGGACCCACCCCGGCCCTCCCAAAGGGCGCCTTCTTTCTCAGTCTGGATTGCCACAGTTCCCTGGGGCGGCCTCAACGCATGGCCGGTGGGCTGCGCGTTTAGGGGAGATCCCCGGGCCAAACAAGGTGTCAAGTGACAAGGTCATGTCCGGTTCGAATGGGAACTTTGATTTCGTCCAGATTTGCGTTCCAGCGTCCGAACCCTGCCAGATCGTGAAAGCACATTGGCCCAAATGTTCAGGCCCTAACTTTGAAAGAAAAGCCGGCTTCCGTACGGCGCAGCGGGCTTCGCCCTTACTGTCCTGTCTGCTGCGTTTCGTTGAAGCGTGGTTCGTAAAATGGAACATGGCTACACTGTGGGAAAGCTCTTGCAGCTTTCCGGCTCAAGCAAATGATGCAGCGCGCCATCGGCTCCCTACCTTTGCAGAACGCAGAAGAGCGAGCAGATGAGCACGAGGGGTGAGTGCGCCAAGCTTGGATGCAAGAGACAGAACCGCAACTGATCCTTGCAAGCCAGAACGAGACATTCTTGGCGGCAAAGTTGAAGGAAGAACGTTAACATATCAGCAACAATCCCAGCTTGCCAAATGCAATAGGCGCGCAAAGCGGACGAAGTGGCGAAAATGCAGAGGGCTGATGAGGAGGTGCGACTGCACAAGCAGCGTCAGTTCAGGCTGGAGCAGCGAAAGCGGAAAAGGAAAGTGTCGATTCTGGAGGGGGAGAACAAGGCACAACCGTTTTTCGCTCGCTCTTTGTCACCGCTCTTTCACCTGCACCCTGTTTCAAGACAAGTCGGAAAATGGCGCCAGTTGTTCCGTGTCGCCACCGCCCTGCGGCAAGGCATGCGCTCTGCGTGACCACACTTGGTCCTTCTGCTCCGCACTTTTCGCCCACCGGACCTGTGCATCCTGCCACCGACCAGCAATTGCGCACATCTGTAAATTGTGCATGCATAAAAAAATATATTATCCCGGATGGCAAATGTCCGTTCTGCCAGAACGGAGGCAAGGAAAAGGGGCATTGCCCAAGAGCCTTCCTGAAGTTCGGTCCGAATTGGAACAGACACCCAGAGCAAACTTGCAGTCAGAGCTGCAGTCTGAGCTCATGACCACGATGGACCATCGCTTGAACAAGTCCCTGAAGAACTGAGGGGCGTGCCGTGCTCTGGCTAGTGCATCCAAAACACGGACCTCGCAAATACGAGCAGGACAAGACGCCAACCAGTGCAGCCATGGCAATCTCACATGGAAACAAAACAATGCCGACAATGAAGTTGATAATTCGCCTTGCTCAGAGAGGATCTTCAATTCGACGCACAAAATACCTTTTACCCTCCTGCTAGCTAGCGGTTTTGCCCAACACTGACCTCACGCTAGGGCCATCACGAGCAAGGGTTCTTTGCCCGAGTCTTGGTCGTCTGCCAAAGCCTCGATCGGTTGGAGCGTTGAAGTTGTTAAGAGCTTGCGCAGTTTCAAGTAGCCTGTACCCTCTTTGGCACGGAAAAGTGGCAAACTGCCATAGGAATGACAAGACAGCCATGCTTCGCTACATCCTCCCCTCCATTGATCTGGCTTTGCGAATGCGTTTGACTGGACCTCTGAATGCGAAGGAACTCAGCCCTCCACGAAAATCCTCTGGAGGGACAAGGTCTGCTTCACCTGACTCCGCCGTTCTCCGGACAAACAACACTAGTTGCGTTTGGCTCTTGAAGGTTCACATCAACCACCTCTCAAGGCTTCCAGCACATGCCTTTTGGCTGCCCAAAACCGAATTCAAACGCGTACCTCGTCGGGTGTCAACACATCGGCCGCAGCCATGCCACACCTGAGGCCACGAGCTTGGGCTGATTCCACAAATTGTTCACTCCTGCACAAATTCGTGCCCCCTTCTACACCTAGAAAGAAGTCCGCGGCAAATTGCCCCAAGACCTAAGTCCACCGGAGTCCAGAAGCTCAACTACCCCTCTCCTCCAAACTACAAATACCGCACATGACAGTTGGAGAGTAGTCTGGCACCACCCAGACTTGCGTTGTGGTTCTTTTCCACTAACTTCGATGGCGGTTCCTACATCGTGGGACACTCCCACCCAGGCGAGCAGATGCTGCAGAACCTGCAGCCCACTCGACTTGACAATTTGAGGCCCCCTCTCCGGCAGAAGCACAGACAGACTACAATCCTTGCTGCGGTGCCGCAGGAACCTGGCGAGGGCTGAATATCCGGCATTCAGCATGAGCAGTATGCTGAGTCGAAAGCTCCAAATCTGTGTCAAAATAACCTCAGGGCAACTTGACAAGTACAGACTCTGGGATCCCAAGTCTTGCGCTTTTCAGAGCACACATAGAGATGCTATCAACACTATGGGCTCCTCTTTGAACATGTTTGTGGGAGGGCCAACATGAAACTAGAGTGCAAAGGGTTGCAGGCATGTTTGACTTCCTAGTTTGGCATGTTTGGCTGATGCATGGCTGCCCAGCAAGAAAGATGAAGGCAGAAATTCACATCACATGTGCAGTATATCCGAGTTGCCTACATAATCTGCAGTTCATTAGCTTAAGCAGAGCAAGCGAGCGTTCTTCTTGCAGATAGGATAGTCCGAAACCCAGGTAAAAGCACGCATGTTGGACTCAGTGTCCATTTGTTGGGGTGGCGTCTGGTTTGCCAGGCATATTTAATATCCACAGTAAAGCCGCAAATAGGGGTGGGCAAATGGTGCATTGCCACGTCGAGGCTTCAGATTGGTCTTCGGGCAAGCGCAGCCCTGGGAAGAGGGCGACACCAGCGAAGCTGCCATCAACATGTCGGCTTGGCTCCAGGATCAAACCTCCGGCTTGGAAGATGCACACATAGCAAACAACATGAGTGTTTTGTCGGGTCAGGTGGTCTTTGAACACGACGCCTTCAACCCATATGCGCGTGCGGTTTCCAGCCTTTTTGGCTCTCTCTGCTCCCACTGCGTGTGCACTGCGAGTGTCATGCATGTGGATGCGTCACGCAAAGCAGCAAGAAGCATGCCTGACATGGATTTCGAAGGAGCATGACTGTAGTGCGTGCAATAGTGTTCTGCCATGATCATTTCCGAAAGGTATCTGAAAACGGCCTCTGGGAACTTGTTGAGTTTCAAGCAACTCGTTTGACTGCAAAAGATTAAGAAATCGAGATCTCCTTCGCCACTCAACGCTTCAGGTGCTGTCAGAACTCCCCTTGGTGCCATGCTGAACTGGGCACGCTCTGCCAGTGGCAGCCGGTCATCCACTTCCAAGGCCTTCAAAAGCTGCAGCTTGAAAGACAATTCCCGTGCATTCAGATCTGCATTTGTGAGATGGCCTGTCATGTTTCGATATAATGATTCAGGTCCTTTGACCATGACCGTCTCATCCATTCGCAAGCAGAGTTACTCCCTAAGCGGGTGGAAATCAAACTTGGTGGTTGAAACAATGGGCCTTCTTGAAAACCAGCTTCTCCAATCGGTTGATGATTCTTGGAGAAACACTTGGGAAACAACACTACCAAGCTCGAACTGCAGCCAACTTCTGTTGTGTGCGGGCTTCTGTGAGGGGGGGGTGTTGCAGCAGACCTCTTGATTATTAGATCCGCTTCACCTTTCTCCAAGCTTCTTCTCAACCTCCCGCCTTCAGGTGCGATGCCTTGTGAAGCGACCTGAGGCCGGGTCGGATGCGCTCGCAGGTGTTGGAGGCGTGTGCGATGGGGAAGGGTCTGCCTCTATTGCTCACATTTCTTCTGGTCCACCCAGAATTTGATGCTGAGCTTTTGCTGACACATCCTGCGCTAGGTTTTTCTTGCGCTTGAAGAACCGTCCTTTCATGGGCGGCAGCTGACCATGCACGCAATCTGTCCGAGGCACAACAACTCATTGACTGCCGTGTGGTTCTTCACCCCAGTAGATCACCGTATTTGCCCGACAGAAGAGGGGCTCCACCGCTTTCGCAGCCCAAAGACTGGGCAGCCCACTGGATGAGCCGGAAGCGCAGCTCAGACTTCAGCTGCTTGGCGATGCCTGAAGGGCCGTCAGTTGAACATCCATGACCTTCATATTGTATGTGTGTGTACATATGTATCTTCATATGCTGTTTGTTTGTACGTACGTACGTACGTACGTACGTATGTATGTATGTATGTATGTATGTATGTATGTATGTGTGTATGTGTGTGTGTATGTATGTGTGTCATGGTCCTAGGAAGCGGAAAGCGAAATGGGACTAAACGAGTCTATGCTTACAAGTAGCTCAAACAACAGTGGCTTTACGGTTCTTGAACAGGATGACCCGAACCTAGTAGTCATACTGCAGTCGTGAAACATGTTACCTTTAAACTCAGAATATCTCTGCCAAATTAACTCCCCCCCTCCCCAAGCCGCCACATGGATTCCCCACTGGCCTGATTTCTCCGCAGCCAACGCCACATGCTCGTGCAGGCCCTCGGAATACCAAAAGGATGTGTACAGTATACATCATAAGGCCAAGGTTCGGCCAGCAAACGAATCACCCCAAGCCGTGGAACCTGAAAACCTGAAACAAGACATTCCTGTGGGGGAACTGTGGAGAACCCTTGTCTTCCTGAGAAGCTAAGAAGAAACGGATGGTAGAACCAGCCCAATCTAGATGGTGCTGCCGGAAAACAAAGTAAGTAACAAACAAAGAAACAACCCCATAAACACAAGAACTCCAACAACGAGGACAGCACGTAATCACATCATAAAATTACAACGTGATACAAGGGGTGGGTGACGCGGAAAGGATTCAACAGGCGCAAGTACGGGAATCTCAGGTCGGCACTGCATCTGCACCTGACAGCGCAGCGCAAAAGCCCGATCCAACGATTCCATTGACGGGTTGATGAGCAGCCCAAATCTCCAGCTCCTTTGACCATGGCGACCTACAGTCAGGAGAATTGTCACGCTGAGGCTGCAACTCAACATACGGCGCCAAACATTAATGGGCACACACCATATTTGCTCCTACGGGGCAACTCGCAACTCCCTCTGCGATCTTCTTTGTGATGCATCGATGCTGTGATGGGCTAGCATCTCTACATAAATCAGCCAAAACCCAGTATAGCAATACCCGAACACAAGCTGTTGTTGAATCGTTGTGCCAGCTACTAGCTTCGCCTCCGATTGAGACTATCTGCTGCTTGTGCTGGCACACTTCATTTCGCTTGTCCTGCTTGCCTTCTTGCAGCTGTGGTTTCCGGTTCAAGCACAACTTGTTCAGGCCCGCGGCTACGAACTGCAACGGCTTCAGGCCAAAGATAGATGACCTCCGATCTCTGCCCTTGCAACCAATCTAAACCGGTTCTTCTGGCCGCCTCAGCCTCGTGCAAAAGCTCTACGAACTTTGGACAGCTACTGTTGGTGGGGCCACTTCCCGAAAGCTATTGGTTGGAGGGGAAACCTCACCCAACGCCGACACAGGCCATCTTAAAAAGGGTTTGTCTATCGTGTTCTGTTGAAACAACCCTGTATCTATGTGACTATGTGTGACCTCACTTAGGTCCAGTTGTGCCAGGCCAACAACAGCGAATAACAGTGGTGAGCTAGCTGCGTCACCGTGTGAAAAGCGGTCTTTGTTGCCTTGCTAATGTTCTCAGAACAGCCTTCTTCCGTGCTTCTGGCGGGACGTTAATTACTGCCTTTTCTCACTTGAAGAATGTCACCTCATAACTGTATCCTGCCCACACTTGCTTGCGTCATTCAGTCACCACTCTCAACTTGGCTCAGCAAGAGGACCGCGCCTCGCTCTGCCAAAAACACTCTAAATTTCAGCCTCGATACTTCGTTATGTGTCTCCCGCTTTGTAAGGCCACACAACCTTTCGGCTAACACTGCTTCTTCAGAGATCACCTCAAGCCAAAGGGCGTGGCTGCGCAGAATCTTTTGCTCTTGCATCGGGCCCTGCAGGGGTCTAGGACACCTTTTGCATCCGATTCGTCTGAATTAGCCGGCTGACCGGGAATGAGAGCTGATCGTGCCTGGAATTCTGAAATCGGTCAAGACCTGCTACCACAACGCTCCGCGCCCACAGCGCAATCTATCCATTTTTTCCTGACAAGCAAACAACTCTGAACGAAATGAGGATACTCCAACTGAATTCCATCATGACGAGCATCTGTTCTGAGAAATATTCGAGGCTAAGCTTCTGCCTTGGGCAGAGCCTGTGGAGCAGCGGCCATGCCTGTCCCTCTTGGAGTTCCAAACAAGGTCGACTTTCTTCAATCATGACCACTGCTTGTGTGACACTGACTTGAGCATCTGGAGCGCTGCAAGTCTCACCTATCCCACGGATCATTAACCATCCTGCGGGCAGCAAAACACTCGCAGCGAAATGCCAGTCGAACCGGCCGGCAAGAGATCAGCCGAAAAAGGAAAGGATGAATGTATCGCGGATTGGGAACAAGCCTTGCACATTCCCCACTGAGAACAAGCAAGATGTGCTGCTGCCATTCCATAAAAACCGAATCGGGCAAATTGGCCGGATGGTGGCCTATCTACGTCGCACCCTGTGTTTATCGGCACCATGGTCGACGATGTTGAACATACTATCTTTTTTGGAACAACGCCGAATGTAGGGAGTGGTTCGAAGGCTTCAAGCAGATTCCAGCTGAGAAGCTACACACTCGCTAGCGAAACGCATTCGAGTCCCCGGCCGGGTGTGCCACGGCTTCCTGCGAACTGCAGGGCTGTTGCTCCAGCCCGCCCCACAAGGCCATCTGCTAGTCACAAACGGTTGCAGAGGGCTGAGTGTCTGGAAGGGCGGACAACCAACACTGCAACTTCAAATTCAATGTCCACACAGCTGCTGGCAAACAAACTCAGTCTATCCAGCAGCAACCCTCCGACTAGTGCCGCCTCTCGGAAGCATAGACGATCGAATGGTGAATCTTTCAGGGGTTCTGGATAAGTCGATGCATCAAAACCAATGCTCCCCCGCAAAGTTGTCCTTCACCCAGGCGACGAACAGTGTCACCACCGTCTCACCTGGCGACAGGGCCGCAGGAGAAGTGCACGAGCCTCGTGGCACAGCTGAAGAAGGCCCACGACACAGAGCTTCAGAGGCTACATTCAGAGCTATCAAGAACTTCAAATCCTTTTGTGTCACAGTATCCCAGACTAGCTGTCAGACTGTCGCGGGAGGGTCACTTGTGAAGATTCAAACGTGTTGTGGTAATCAGCAGTTTCGCTTGAAGACCAGTCAACAAAACGTCGGGCTGTTCGGGCTGGACAATCACCCGAAACAGGCAGCCCAGCCTTTTGCAAGGACGAAGCCGCCAACAAAAGCTATTGTCAAAGCGCAAATATAAACACCTCGGCAACAAGTGCAGGTGAGGCGGCGAAACATTAGACATCATGAGTTCAGAGGCGTCATGGTCCGTGCCAGAGCCAAGAATAAAGTTTGTTGATGATGATCCACACAACGTTCCAAATTACCAACAGGCCAAGATGCCTATGAGCAGACATGATTCTGGCAGCGCTCGCATGAGCTTGCCCCGGGCTGCGCACAAACTCCAACTCCTCGTGAACTCTCACGACCTGAGCAAAGTTGTCCCAAACAGCTGACTTATCCTTTAATGGCATTCAATGGGAAATGAACATGAAATCACACTGAATACCCGGCTGATCAACGAAGCACTCTAGAAGTGGCCTTTCTGTGATTGGTAGCTTCACTTGTCTGCTGGGGCACAAACTGTTGAAGAAAGGCCAACACGCAACCAAACACAAACACACACCCAGAATCAAAACAGCCTCACCAGTGCACTTTAGAATGTTGCCTGAATGTTGCCACGCACTTTCAATCGAATCAATCCGGCGTGAAACAAAGCCCACCATGAACCCGTCGCAAGCCCATTGCCAGTTCAAGGCGTGGTTAGAACGCACAGCCCAAGAACCGGCAGTAAGCGTCGCACTTACTCTGCGCAGTGCTTGCTTCATCTTCTCCTCCACATGATGCACACAAGCGCTCTTGGATTGCATGGGTGCTGGTGACCTGGTAGAAATGGGCAATTTGGGAGCCTTTCCTGTGAAGCTTGCATCACCGATTCTACATCCATTCTTGACCACCGGTGGAAATAATCCTATGATTTGAGTTCGGAAAGTCTGTTCTATGCCAATCCATTCTGCCTAAACTAGGGCTTTCCTTTGACTTCTCTGACTGAAAACCGTATATGCAATCTCTCCTCGCGAACTGAGAGCAGTCGCATCACTAGAGGCCAAAAGGCATGTTTGCCGTGGTTGGCCGCGTAAAACATGCGTCATGTGCTTACAGTTGACGCGGTGAATCGAGTATATGACACGTATGAACCGAGCCTGTCCCTTGAAATGGCTGATAGGGAAGCATCCATTTTCTGGCTCCAGCTTAGTGTACTTGCCATCCAAGGTGCCAACGCACTCTCACCGAGTGGCTACATGCGGTCGCATTAAGTCACATCAGCGCGCGTAAATTCACGTCGCTGCACGGCCACGCGCGCACGCTCGAAGTCACAGCAGCACGCGTGAAGTCACATCATGCATCAAAATCACATGGCAATCACACCGGCCACGAGCTTCCACAGTGCACGCTGCGCTCTGCCGCATCACTAGCCGTTTGCGCCCCACACCGAGCGAAAAATTAATGACTTTGCGTCTGCTTCCCCACTAGCCACGCCAGTTTCTGGTCATCAAGTTTTGAGTTCAAAAGCCAGCCGTGCGAATGCAAATCATGCTGGCGTCGCGCTTCCGCGGTGTACGTCCGGTATTTGAGTTTTTCCAAAGCCAGCCACGGGAATGCAAATCACACTGGTGAACAAGCTTTGAGTTCGAACGCCAGTTGCGGAAGCGCAATCACATTGACCACGCGCCTCCACAGTGCGCGCCGCACAGCAAGCAAAAAGCATGCAGCTGATATCTTGTTTACCCACCAGCCGCGCTGCTTCGATGGGGCCCCACTCCAACACACACAGTTGGGCCGGTTGCCTGCGGGGATGCTTTCCGTCTACCCCTTGTAGGAGACAAGCGACAAAAAGGCTGCCTGCTTTGGTAGCATATAAGCTTCCTTGGAACCACACAAATATCTTTGGATCGCCGCAAATGGGCCTCCACACAGGCAAAGTCTTGATGGGAGCCTTAAAAGCACATCCACGGTATCCCTAAAATAGGGCACCACAAAGTGTTAGACAAAATCCAAGAGGGTGTGCCCCATATCTAGAAACAAAGAGCTTCAGACCTCTGAACATATCCAGCATGCGCTTCCGAGTTGCGGGGACAAAATTCACCAGCTCCCATGTCGCGAGACGATACCAAAGTTGCACTCGGATTTCGCCCTCCCACCTGGTCTTTGGAAGCAGACATCAGCGGCGAATCCTGGAAACATTTCTCAGGGCTGCTTGATCCTCTGTTGGTTGGGCAGTTGGTCCAAACGCCCCTGAAACGGCGTCTAACCCTGATAAACTAGTGTGGGCCCAGTGTTTGGCAAAGAACATTGTCCCAAAATGGCAAGCAATAGAACCACCAGGACATCTGAAGACATCGCTTTATTGTATCCGTCTGGGCTGGGGGTGGTGGATCTCTGCAAGACGTCTCGCTCAGAGACTCACATAGAAACCGACAAACCGAGCCAGCTCCATGAAACGCATTGCACATCTGGACATCCGTTGGACTGTCCTGCACCTTCTGCCCCGGCGAGGCTAGGGTTTGCACTTCCTGGTACGGAAAACGGTCCGCACGCGGTGACTTTGGCAGGCACCATGCCAAAAAGGCTCATTTTTGGCTTTGCCCCAAGCAACATAAATGCATGGGCTGTGGTGCATGAGAAGCCGGGCTTGGAAAACGTTCACACGCTCAGGGCATGGCTGCCATAATCTCACCTGGGAAACGCGAAAATACTGGTGGCATTGAGAGCCCCAGTTCAAGGCGGCACAAAGGCAGGGAGCTCTGACGCAAAGCTTCCCGCCTTCTTCGTGAGTGGCAGCCGTATGATCGGCCTCCGGAATCGACCCATCCACTCTCATATCCCTCCCTTGTGCAAGGGCATCGGCATCCTTCGGCATGGCCGCAGTGAAACAAACTCTTCATGGCAAACCGCCGACTTGTCATTTCCAGTACTTCGTAGGCAAAGCTCGGCTTGCTTTGTCAAAGGCTGGGCAGCTTGCAGGGAGCCTTGCAACATGTTGCAGCGTGAAGCTAAATCTGTTCGATATGCGGTTTTGGAGTGCAAAGTGGGTGGCAACTGGCTGGTGACCGTGACACCACCCAGGCCCAGAATGCCCGGCAACCCTCACGTCGCCTCCTTGAGGGTTTTGGCCTGAAACCTGAGCAGCAAAGAGCCAGAAATTGGGCCTCGAGTTGACCCAGGTCAACGAGAGGCTGGGGGCTTACAGGCACGTGGCCAAGGCAATCCTTCGATCGCATAGGCTGCAAAACCCGCCGCTGGTTGACAGGGATGGTAGGTTCGTGGGGTAGGTCTCAGTCGGGCCTCACAATGTACTCCGCCAGCTCTCGATTGATCCTCTTGAAGGACTCTTTGCCTCAGATCTCCCTCGAGGCAAAGTGCCAACTCGAGAACAACTTTACCAGCAACCATCTTTGCCACTGAACACGTGGTCAAACGTTGAATACTTCCTTGCCAAATCATTTTTCAAACAGCCTTCCCTATGCCTCTGCCAGCACACAGAGCAAGCGGCTTGCGACAGCGACCAGCGTGTACTGCATGACGTTCAACACCTGGCCGACAAATTTTCTGATCGCAAAATCATGTCAGCCGCTTCACCATGCCGGCGAGGCAATGCAGAGGCCATTCTTGATGCCCAGCCCGGGGAAGTATGTATGTTGGAGCCTGAGCTTCAACCAGCATTTGGCACACGGCGAACTTCAAAATCCTCTGGGCGTCTGGCAAAGCCCACACCCAAATCTGGCGCGGCGCTGATTTCGGCGGCATTTGCCAATTTCAAAGTCAGACACGTCAACACAGTGAGTCAGGGCGAGCTGGCTTGGTGGTCAGTTAGTTGGTCAGGTCGAAAGCCAGTGAGGTCTGTTTTCTGTCTCTCTCGCTCTGTCTCCCTCTCTCTCTCTCTCTGACTTGAACTTGCCCAGCTTTCAGTTGCCGGTATTGCGTGTTCCAGGAGGAACCAGTCTGTAAAACCTCTGAAGTGCAGTTCCCTGGTTTCCTGCGTCGACTGGAAGCACTGGGTCGGTCACCCGAATAGCCAGGAAGGGCACGTCGATCAGAAAAATAGATGCAATGGCAGACCTCAGGTTGCCAAGTCTCCATTGCCCCCAGAAGTGTACAGCAAATAAAATCTTTGGACATGCACCATTGTCTTGCCAAACATCACATGAGCAGTGTTTTTTTTGGGTGGTTCGGGGCCTATACACTACTTGCACGCCTACGCAAAGGCCCACGCAAGCCTACGCGGCCTGCGAGGGGTGCCTACGCGAGCACAAGTCAGCTTCCAGGTGCCTACGCGGATGCCTACGCGGGCAAATGTTGAGTTCAAGCGTCGAAGTGCACTGTGACAGCTCCAGCTGGAAAATCGCAACTTCTAAGTACAAGTGCAGTCTTGGCAGCTCCGGCTCTAAGATCAGAAATGCAGTGCAAGTGAGAATCCCACATTTGTCCAAGGATCTGGCAGCTAGAAAGGGTCTACGTACCCAAAATGCCTTGAAAGCCTACGCAAATGCCTACGCGGGGCCTACGCGGAGCCTACGCGAAGACTGCAGAACAAACAGAAGGAAGGCAAAAGAAGCAAATTCCTTTATACGTGGCAACCAGCACTGAGTCACGATTTGTTCAACAAACGCCTACGCGAAAAGCCTACGCGAGGGGTGACACAACAGCCTACGCGCTGAAGCCTACGCGAGCCTACGCCCCCAACCAGGATTGCCTCCGCAAAGTACATGCAGTTCCCTTTTTGTATAAACCCTTACATTTGATTAAAAAACGCTGCTCACATGGAAATCAAACGCCATGATGTTGATAGATCGCCATGTTGGAGACCCCTTGTTGCTGGTTGGAGTTCGATTTAACTTGCAGGAGAGTAGCTTGGCTTGTGGCTTCTATTGATCCCCCCCGCCCAGCCTCTTCCTGGCAATGATAATATTTTGGCGCTGGATGAGGTTCATCACACCCTGATGCGAGAGATCCTCAAGAGACCATGCCAGCACTGTCTGCTCCAAATGTCTCCGGTGTCAGCAAAAAGCAGTGCTGGCTAACACGGTGAGCGGAGGACTCCCTTCCCAAGAAAACGATGCCAAACTGCAAGGCACCAAAGAAGTAATAAAAAGATGTTGGACCCTGTCCTCGCCCGTGCTACATTTAGCTGGTTATGATCTGTTTGGCGAACAACCCAACCGGAAAGGAGTCACTGTTGGTGACGTGGGGCAGCTTCCAGGAACAATCGCAAATCTTTCCTGGCAGTGTATGTGCTAGTTATATATACAAATATAATAATATGCAAAGAAAGACAAAGAGAGAGAGAGAGAGAGAGAGCGAAAAAGCGAGAATGACAAACAAACAACTATCACATATCTCAATGTGTATCATTGAAGTCTTCACGACAACGACCAACGTAAGAAACAACCAACCAAGCGAGCTGCAGCCACTGGACATCCCCATCCACTTGCCTGCAGCCGCCGGCGTCGGGCCCTGGCACGCTGCCCAATAGCCAAGCAACCAAGCAACCAAGCAACCAAGCAACCAAGCATCCAACCAACTAAAGCAACCAAATCAACCATCGAGTGCCTGGGCCGGCGCACCGGTGCTAAGTCAAACTAGAACAACATGTTTCGTTCGAAGTTCAAAATCGACAAATTTGGGTCATTGTGCCCCGTCCCGACGGCTCAGCATCAGGTGTTGGCCTCTCTTGGCGCTCCAGGTAGGTGCGGTCGTTGCCCAGCCCTAACAGCTGAACGAGGGGACAAATCGAAGTCGGAGAGTTGGGAACGGGGCCGGCACCGTTGACTGTGGTCTTCTTGTGGACCACATTGGAAGTCCTGGAGGGTATTTGCCTATTGCAGGAAGCCGCTTCCCTTGCCCACGGAAGGAAGGGCCTCGTGTGATGCAGCTGCTTTCAATTTCAACGCAACTGACTCGGAATCGCCGAGGATTGAATTTCTTGGAAGGGCTTCAGGGCAGCAAGTTTGCTTTGGCCCGCTGGGACCCGGCAACCCCCGCCTGTCACTCACGCCGCTACCGCTTTCCTGCGATCGCAGCCAAGGCTTCGCCCCAAGTCCCCGAAAATCGCAATTGAATCGCTGGGGTGGGCCCAGCTAATGTGAGCGCGTCTATCGCAAAAGGTGACATACTGGTCGCTCCGAAAGGCGCTTTCTTTCGCTTCCTGGGAGGGCAGCCCCCGCAAGTCGCGGACCATCTCAGAGCCAGGGGCAAAGGACACAGCCTGAGGCATGCGATGGGCCCGACGAAAGTCTGCGAAGGGTGTGGCGGTGCAATAGGGGCAATGATGCAAAAACTAACAAACCATGGTATGTTGGAAAAACACAATGCCATGCAGTAACTTCTTGCTCAAACTCCCAGGAGGGTGTGTGCAGCAATGAATGGACGGATGGTGGAAGGAAGCTACAACACGAACGACTCATCGGCAAACGGTTCCGGCG